TTCACGTTAATAAATTTGGTAATAATAGAGAAGTGTTTATTATTGTTATCATTCAGCTTTTTACAGTAATCAAAGAATGTCTTATCATAACGATAAAGTAAATAAAATGAATAGGTTCAGCCTTCCCAAATTCAGTTAAAGCAGCTTCAGCAGAAACATACACTGCCAGCTGCCGTTCGGTGTGGAGTTCAAACAGACAGCGCACATTTTTTCTCAAGAAGCTCCAAACTGATTTTGAAAATACTATACCTATCTATATAGTAACTTGTGAACCTTTGAACATATAATAACAAGCATAATTCAGTCAATGATCTTTCATTTGGTATGATTTTAGTAGGAGAGCCGTCTGCAGATTTGTACCGTCATCTGATAACGAAATGATATATGTCCGAAAGGAAAATAAAAACATTGTTGTTCATCGAACAGCACCTGTGCCAATCACTATCTTGAGCAAAATGATTTAGAAATTGCACTTTCCTGTGCGGAAATTTGCACTCGATTTCGCGATTTAATAACCAGATAAGGAACTATACCATCTGATACCAATTGAATGGTAGATTCATGGCACAGCGATTTATTTGCTTCTATTATTCCGGACATACTTCCGTCATGTGTTAACTAGTTGAAACAAAAACCAAATGGAAGGAAAAAATTTCCTTTTTGCGAATATTCAAACGTGCCGCGATTCAAACTGATCTAAGTTAGTGGCAGAGCATCAATATTTTCGTGAATATTTCGCCCTAACCGAAAGATAATATCCGATGGACCAGTGTGAAACTCATGCGTGGTGCTTACACTACAAGTATTTCAATCCACATGTTGAGTTTTACACTGGTTTATCGGATATTATCTTTAGAGCAGGGCAAAATATTTTCGGAAGTATTGACGCTCTGCCACTAACTTAGATCAGTTTGAATTGCGGCACGTTTGGATCTTCGCAAATGTGACATTATCTTCTTCTATTTGCTTCTAGTTTCAACTCGTCATCACATGACGGAAGTATAACCAGAATAATAGCAGCAAATAAATCGCTGTGTCGTGGATTTTGTTGAGACTGAGAAGCGAGGGGTAAGTACATGGGGCAATCCGGAGTACAACTTAGGTGTATTGTGGGGCAATGCGAGGCAGTGTGGGGCATTGCGAGGCATTGTCGGGCACTGCAGGGTATCAATGGGCATTGCAAGGTATTGTAAGGCATTGTTAGGCAATGCGGGGTATTGAAACAGCAGTGAAAGGGCAATGTGGATCAATGTTTGGGCTTAATTTGTTGCGCGCGCATCCGATACTGTTCGAAGTCACTGTTCTGTGGTTCGAGGTGATGCCTCCGCCTCCATTTTGATTGCGCCATTCAAGCGTTTCGCATTGCGTCATGCTGTCATCAACTCCAGAGAAACTGAATGTGTCGGAGATTCTTCAGGTGAAGAAAATGAACCAGATATTGTTTCAGACGATTCCACAGATGTGGAGTCATTCTACTCTTTGGGAGAAGATCGAGAAGAAGATAGGATGATGAAAAAACTTGACGTTTCCAATCCTGAAATAGATGATTTCTATGCAGGGGTATTTGATAAAAACTGGTATCTGGGACTGGTATTGAAATAGAACAAAGACAGATTTGGAATTAGGTTTTCAGAAAACATTCCAACAAGCTGGGCCGGCGTACCTCAGTGCTTCGATGCTTCAATATCGATTCACGTCGAGGTATCGATCGTGGGTTCGAGACCCACGAACGCAGACTTTTTCTGATGGCCTAAGAAAGTGTTTGGGATCACACGTTAAAAGGTAAGGCCCCCGTCATTCCTTGCTCGCACAAGTCTTTCGAAGACTTCTGAGGGTTGCTCGTAAGGGGGCAACCGAATGACGGATAGAACAATTTTAGAACAATTTTAGTGGCCAGAAAAATCAGAAATTGAAAATTCTATACCAAAAGAATGTATTTTTTACGGACCACTCGTACTTGGGGAAAATTCTCCGTTTCTCCTGAAAAGAGCGGATAAAGTCAACATTTCCAATCTTAAATTTGGAGTCGAAAAAAAGTTTTTAATTTTAAAAACACAAAGTTGACTAATGTGATTTCCAGTGTGATATGCTTTAACAAAATATATATTCAGGTTCAAGATGTTTTTGGATCAAGAAAATCTTAACTTTGTTTTTGTTTTGAAAAACTTCACTATGTTTCAGCTGAGGTTTCAGTTCCAAGAAAGAATTCAGAGTTTTTTTAATAACTATAAACTTAAAAAAATGTTAAATTTTAGTCGAGATTTTAGTACTGTTACTTATAATACCTGGACTTATATGCCTAGTGTTCCTGTTACCAAAATATGATCTCTGAATTATTGTGATATTGTCTAAAAAAGTACCTTCAGGAATAACTACTTAGTTATTAAGTATAGGAGAAAAAAAAATTGTTGTTTTTGCGAAAAGGCGTTTATTGTTTATGTTGGGCATTGCGGGGGCGATGTTGGGCATTGGAGGGCAATGTTGGGCAATGCGGGGTATTTTTGAGTGAAAAATGGGCATTGCAGGGTACAAAAAATGGCTAAGTACTTACCCCTCGCTGAGAGGTGGCATAGGTAGATAGGTACAATTCAATTGGTATCGGATGGTATAATTCTTATCTCGTTATCAAATCACGAAATCGAATGCAAAATTCCGCACAGGAAAGTGCAAATTTTAAATCATTTCGCTCAGGATAGTGATTGGCACCGGTTTCATTCGATAGACTACAATGTTTTTACATGCCTTTGGGATTTCGTTATCAGATGACGGTCGAAATTTGAGGCCGACTCTTGGACTATCAGAAAATGATCCCAACTGCATGACTTCCTTTCAGTTTGAATATCCATATGTGAACAACGAAATTCATTGGATAAAGATGATGTGTGAACAACATTCAAATGCAATATATTATGATTAAATCGAGGCAAATTTTGTTGGTGGTTGGTGAATCTGATGTGCACCTACCTACTTAGGTTTTGAAATAACTACCTAAATTTGATTTTTTCATTCTGATCAAGTTATCTAACTCAGATTCACAAAGCCTCTCTCGAATCCATCGTTTAGAAAAGAGAAAACACAAAGGTAAATAATTCTTGATCCTGTTTTCATATTCATACTGAATATTCTCATCCTTTTTAGTTTCCTATATTTATGAAACTATCGAAGCAGAAAGTCTATAATGATTTATAAATTTGAATATTGTTATGCACAGGTTGTTTTCGAAACTCGGCATTAAATAAAATGGTTATAATACTCGTTGGTAATCAGTAGAAGGCGAAAAAACCAAACGAAATGAAAGTAAATAAAATCGTCCAGAAGTTTTCAAATTTTTCACTCGATGAGACATACATAATAAAAATGCCAGTTGCAGATACTATTACATGTTTCTAATGGAACCATCCCTGATGTACCTATCTTCCGTAATAATTGCAAATGAATTTTGAAATTTGCAGGAGGGAGAGAACTACCAAAGTTACACTCAATGGCTGATTGGGTCAATTGGGATTATCTTCAGTGATATACACTACTCACCAGTAGCCATGGAATCACCCAAGTCTCCAGAAATCAAGACATCAAATTCATTAACGAAAAAATTAGTATTAGAAGAATTCAGTTTCCAAAAATTCAATTTCTCATGGAAGCACTTCTGTACCTTTGGTTATAATTCTTGAAAAATTGTTATCGTTAGTTTTTTATTCCTGTGAATCTCAGAACCTACCTCAATAAATTACAGAGTCACTCCTTCAAACTTCAGGAACCTATACTTGCATAATCACGAAGTATACAGAGGTGCATCCATCAGAAATGAGACACACTGTATGATGAATATTCGTATTGAGTACACTCTTTCATACCACATTGCGCCATATTTCCAAATCCAGAACAAAACTTTTTTTGGCAATCATCCAGAAAGTACCCACTTCCCGGACGAGTTTCCTCAGAGAAATAAGCACTCTTCAAGCCTAGTCGGGAAGAACGAGTTTTCCGGACTAGGCTGGAAACAACATCGTTGTTATCGTCGTCATTGTTACTGCTTACATTGCATGGCCACAAAGTCTAGCCAATTTTTCAATAGAAAATTGACATTCTATTTTTGAGAAGTGTACATGGCTTATTGTCGCGAGAAATGTGATGGGGAATTTGAAAATTTGCAAAAACATAAAATCTTCCGGACTTGTTATAGATAGGGTGATCCAATAGGAATCTTGATGAGTATAAATGGTTATTATACGGTTCCTAAAAGACTTGGAAGACGAATAACAGAGCACACACTCAAGAATTCATCTGAAAACCTTGTCAGAATACACGTTTTGAATATTTTACAAATGCGTTTCTATAATCTCACTTGCATTCTGTTGCTAAATACACCTATTTGATGCATCTCCACCATAGTGACGTTATAGGCTGATGAATTCGAGGTTAGTCTCGTTTTATAAAATTTTTGAGTCTGCAATATTAGCAAATGTGAAAATGGAAGATGATGTGGAACATTACCAATATATTTATCACACAATGGGCATCACATGACAAGCTACGTGACTTTACAACTGTACAATGTAGGATTTATAAATATTTCATTTGATGATGATGATATAGAGTCTGTGGTACTATCACTATCACTGCTGCTAGATTGCAGTAACTTATTGAGGCTCATTTCAGAAACTTAGGATTTGACATTTTTAACGACACCAACGCACCAAAACAAATAACCATAGAGTGCATAGAGCTCATATTTGATGACAGTTTCAACCTATTTGAATTATTATTGATTAAACTATTGATTAATCTCTCCACCTATTTCGAATGACGGTGAATTGGTGGCTCATCAGATTGTTCCCCAGATGAATTAAGCAGCACAAAATATTTATAAACTGTGAATTCAGCAACAGCGAATTTTCTACCACTGGTGTTGATGGACCAGATTGGTGAATTTCGCAACACAGTGGCTCTCAAAATGTATTTTCTTGCTCACAAGATGTGAATACGACATGACGAATATTTCCACCGATTTCTGGATTTCGCATTACCTAAATAAGTACATGGATACTTCGAAATTATAAGCTTCATTGTTACATTTCATTCCTCAGTAGATATTTGTGTACTGGCACTGGAAAATGAACCCCTCGCTTCCCCACTTATACAACTGTCTGGAACAACGATAAAGTTGCATTTTTTATAGTTCACCCAGCTGGACGTATCACAAACCCTTTTCAATATACTCTTCCTTTCATTCTCGGGTTTACAAGTTACAATTACTTCAGGTATAACACTATTGTTGCTTTCGATGAACGGTTGACTACAATTTTCACAATGTTCTTCGCAAATATGGTCCTCACACGCGGTATTCACAACCGAAGCTTTCCTCGGCCTCTCAACACCATCCAGATTTTGTTTACACTTGGGAACCAAACCGAATATCCTACAAATTTCCCTTTTCACCCTCTTGTTCCGGTAACCGAACAGAAAAGGCGATATAATATTCGAAAATACGAGAAGTATCAGCGACAAATAGTTGAAAATCTGGCTAGTATGCACTTCTATGCATTTCGAGCACAACACTAGAGTTATCCCATAAGGAACGTAACAAACTAATACCAAAAATATAACTAAAACGCTAATCTTGGCCGCCCTAGTTTCCTCTCTGAACTTGAATACCGAAGCATTGGAAATTTTGTGCCTCAAGTTATTGATGAACCCGTAGGTTTGCCGATCACTAGAGGTCCTCTTGACCTTATTCCTAAACGTCTCTATGTCCCTGCTCGCTTCATCCTGTTCCATCACTGAAAAGTTCGGCGCAGAATGGACTTTGGGAAGCGCATCTCTAGCATGCTTCTTATTGGCCACTTGAATGTCATCCGCGTACGGGTTCAGCGGCGCAGAAGCAGATCTACGCATGCGCTCACTATTCTGATGCGCGGCAGTGTATATGCAGACATAAATAATGCAAATTGCTAAGAAGGGCGCTAGTATCACGAGAAAAAAGTACCCGAACGCGTACACAGTGTTCAGGATTCTGACAGTCTCACTGGGCTGGACGTGGTTCTTGCAGAAATGCCACACGCTGCTGTCGCTGTACGTCAAGGAACTCAAGATGGCGCAGAACAAGGCGACGAACCAGCTGATGCCGATCAACACCGTGGACTTGCAGTGCGTGATGTACACGTGGTACCTCAACGAATGGATGACGCCGAAGTACTGGTTGATGCCGATGAGCAGGATGCTGAAGATGGAGGCGGTACAGACGAAACTGGTGGTGCTCTGGGCGAAGTAACAGAGCAAGTTCGTGCCGTTGAGGTGTGGCGAGATTTCTGGCGATACGAAGTCGCTGGTTTCTATTATTTCGATTGTGTTTTCGGTTGGACCGCTGCTGATGTCTTCTTCGATGATGAGGTTTTCGAATTGGGTGAGTGGCCTGGTGTTTGATGAGGCCGCTGGCACCAAGGCCTCGATTTCTTGGTCTACGAGGAGTAGTGGGATCAGTAGAACGCTGGACAATAGATTGGTCACCAGCAGATTGATGACGAATCTGTAAGGAAAAATGATTATCATAATTTATTGGATTAAATGGCATCGGATATAATATGCTGAGAACCATTCATAAGGCTCTCATAGATGTTTTTCAGTTATATTTAGAATTATACATCCTAACATGAATCACTCCAAAATTCACCTGGTGATTAGTTCAACGTTCAACGAACTCTAAAGATAAAGCCTGCACCTCGATCTATACATACTTATAATAGTCCAGAGTACCCGCCACTGATTGAATTATTGATTATCGCAGGTAATATCCCGAGACCATGACAAATAGCCGACTATTGTTTTCGTCATAATTCTATCGAGAGTTCCTTGTATTTTGACAATTTGATGAGACCATATGAACATCAATAATCTGAATAACTCCCGAGAGCTTTAGCTCGAGGGAGTTATTCTATGATTATTTATGTTCATATGGTCGAATTGAATTGTCCCAAAATACTAGTTACTCGAGATGAATTAACGAAAATAATAGTGTCTTTTTGTCATGGTCGAGTGATATTCAGGAAGATTATTTCATGAACAGTGCAAAAATACTGGTTTATATGAGTTTCAACATTTTATTCAAGTAACAATTCTGCAGATACTATTTGAATAAAAATTCTTCTGAAAGCCGTCTGGGGTATTCTCATCATATCTACGTACAATAATTGTAATCAATTCATCTAAAGTTAAAGCAAAGAACTATTGATAGCATTAATATCATTTGATTAGAGCTTCTGTACTTTCCTTTTTTGTTTGAGGAAAATATTGTAGGCTTCACTTTTTTGCATTATGCGCATCCCTGGCACCTTCGAATTCGATATATTCAAATGGATTTGTCTTACGTTTATGTTCATTGAAGTAACCTTCCTGTATATATAGTTCTCCATATCAATTTCAACTGTGTATTCCTAGTATTTCTCACCATTCTCCTCACCCAATCTTTTAGGATTTGGGCAATCACGAGAGATGGGGGTAGTCGCACAAAATTCATAGTTTTTCTGCTGGCAAAAAAACATGAATTGTTCCAGACAGACTCTCTACTCTCCTTGTTATTTTCTGATATCGATTCGCTTACATAATTAAGAATTCCCGTAGTGGATGTTGACCCAAAACGAGACATTTCAATTTTTGTGTGACTGATAGGTATGTCAAAGTTTGACTACCATAGCACTCTTATGCTGACGAACAGAATAGCCGCTCATATTGTTTGTTTACCTAAATAGCCGCTGATATCGCATATCATGTGACTTCAATCATGACATTTCATAGGTCCAGCCGGGTGTGAATGAAATAATCGTATATGTAATATATGTATATGAATATGTAATACAAGTGTATTGATGATTATCAAAATATAAATCCCTTCGAGAAACAAATTATGTTGCTCGTTTATTACATAATTTATTACGAAAAAGAGAAGGAATTTTCGATAATCATCAATAAAACGAGTTGTATTTGTTAAGATTATTCACTCATTATTTTATGGATAAAACAAGGATTTTATCTCACATTTTGATATGCAGTCGTTGTGTTATGCATACATACATACATCCATAAAATAATTTAGGGGGTCACCATATTGACAGCGACTGACTCCTATGAAGTGTCAAATGATCCAAGGATTGTCAGGTTTGAAATTATGTTATGGTTAGGAGTGAATATGAAAATATTATGAAATCCATGGCAGGTAAGATATTGTGTTTTTTATTTGATCAAACTACCAATATGGAAGCGAAATACAAAATCGAAAACACAGAATATAAGTATCCCAGTGTCCAATCAATTGACGAAATACAAAAATGAAAACATTTTTTCGATCACCAACACAGATATTTGAACCAATCAAAACGTGTATTTTGGAATAGGTGGAATAATCGATGTTATATCTAGACTAGTTGCAAATGGGAAACACTACTTGAAAAAGTCAATTGGCAAAAAATATTCTGTCTACATTGGTTCAAGGTCGAGAAATCTATCATCTTGTTAATTAAAAATGATTGATGCTTGATCAAATAGGTAGGTAGACAGGCAGGCAGGTACAAGTACATACTCATTCCATATTGTTTGTTTGTGTCAATGTTTGTTTTATATTTTATAATAATTATGATGTATGTAAGTATACCGAATGTGAATGCACATCAGAGCTAACTGGTTATTTGATGGATGAAAAATGGTATAGTGGATATGCAGCAAAAATAGAACTGTGTGGAATGCTTGATAAAATATTCGCAAAAAACGTCGAATCAAATATCATATCAATGTAAGTACAAATTGGATAGGTATCACATGAATATTCAGCACGTGATATTCACAGACTCCCAGTTACTGTCATTATGTTCTTGACCCAATCTTGAATATTCTATGGACATCTAAATTGAATATTCATTGGAAATTCAAGATGAAAGTAATTATTATAAGGAAAAATGTGTAGCCACCGAAAGCTATTGGAAATATCACTGATGTGATTTGTCAAATAATTTTTGAATATTTATAATGATGATTTGTTTTACTAACCAATTTCTTTTACAGGATGGGTCTCAGAAATACTGGGATTTATGCCTTATTGCTTTGCGTGAAGCATTACCTATGTGTTATATATGATTTTATGTCTTGGAGCGTACGAAAGGGAATCCCTATAATCATTGGAAGAAGTCCATGGTAACTCAAAGTGAAGTTCATAGATGAAAACCCAAAGTCATCTCCTCCAAATGTTGTGGAGACGGCTTTGGGTTTTCATCTATGAATCCCTATAATGCTCGAAGAATTCCAAAGCTTTGCCGTTCAATAGACGAACGAGTTTTGGTTAAGTGTTGTTCGACATATTCCAAGGTTGACAACGTCAATATTCCTTTGAATTCGCTAGTTATGCATAGGCAATTTGTATTTTTGACAGATTTGTCAGATTTTAGTCTCAAGCGAGGTCTCAAAAGTATAACTGTGATAGGTTTAAATAAAATATTTTGTGAATCATAAAGTTTCCTCTGATTCATTATACCTACATTTGGTCGATAAAATATTCAAGTTATTTTTAGTAGGCGATGTAAGCTATATGGACGACCACATATTGGTTAAAAAGGGGCGTCAATTGTATTTCCAAAACATCCTGTATGGATATCCGCGAATATCGCGCTCTTGCTGACAATATTTTTTTGATATTACGTGGTTTCTGTTCTTAAATCTTTAACTTCGTCAATATGGATTCAGGTTCTCATAAAAACGAGAGCATTATTGCTTATTAGTAGGTAATATTCAAATTTATTGAGGTTTTAAAGATCGTGGTTCAATTCTCATGAAAATATAAGAACCTACTTTGTAAATCATATGTCATCATGTCAATCATTGTTAATCTTTTCATCAATAAGCTACTTATGAAACTGTTAGGTTGGAATGCATGTAGCATCATATAGATTTACGAAATTATGTAAAATTATTCCGACGTCTATATACAGGGTGTTTCAGTTTTTTGTAGCTTCAACAGCTTGAAGAAGACATTTTTTTAAAATGAAAATCTCATACAAACATATATGCGTGAAAGCTTCATTTCCGATTTACAGGGTGTCAAAGTTTCAGATTTGTTTTATGTTTTTTTAATTTTCTCCTACAATTTTCGGAATAATTGATTGAAATCTAGTACACCTGATACATTTCAAAAACTTAATATTTGAGGCTATTGAGCGTTTTTTAATATCTACAGGGTGATAGACTTTCAAGGATCGTACCCAATTTAAACCTGTAGAATTTTTTTGCGTGCCGTTTCTGCTTTCAATGGGACATAGATTCAGATTGTCCTTTCAATTTGGAAGTTTTTTGTCCTTATGTAAATTTTTCGAAAACTGTATGGATCTCGAGATAAATGCCAAAAATAAATTACTTGTTATAAAACCGTTATTTCTCAATCACACTTATTTGACATTTCCCAAACATTTTATTGGAAAATAGAATGACCGAAAGCTTCCATACCAAATGAAATTCAGTTGCAAAATAAGATTGCATTTTTTGAACACTATTATAATTAAAACTAGTAAAAACAAAGAAAAAATGTTTTTATTTTAAAAAAATTCTCTTACTGGATTGCAAAATCTGGAATTGTATTATAAAAAATTCTAGGACACCCTGTATAACTAAAACTGGTTAAACTTTCGATATCAGGGACTGTATGACACACGGTGTAGGCGCTATACATCGCTAGACTGTCGCTTCTGACGGTTGAGGTGTTGTTGTTGTGAGTTTTAATAATTTAATCTCGTGAACGGCAATTCTAATTTTATCAGTAGTTATTTATCTTGAAATCCATACAGTTTTCGAAAAACATACATAAGGGCAAACAGTTTCCAAATTGCACAGACAATCTGAATCTATGTCCCATTGAAAGCAGAGGCGGCACGCAAAAAAGTTCGACAGGGTTAAATTGGGTACGACACCTGAAAGTCTATCACCCTGTAGGTATTCGAAAACGCTCAATAGCCTCAAATATCGAGTTTGTTTTTGTAGTGTATTAGGTGTACCAAATTTCAATCAATTATTCCGAAAATTGTAGGAGAAAATTCGAAAAACATTTAAAAAATCTGAAACTTTGACACCCTGTAAATCGGAAACGAAGCTCCCACGCATATATGTTTGTTTGAGATTTTCATCTTGAAAAAATGTCTTCTTCAAGCTGTTAAAGTCCTGCTACGAAAAACTGAAACACCCTGTATATAATTAATTGCACAACGAACAATCTTCACTGTAATTTTGTGAATCGATGAATTCCGAATTTCGGTAATTATATGTAGTTTGTAACTATTATTCAACTATTCAAATTTATATAAATTTATTGTCAATTCAATATTCTGTCAAATATGCTTGAAGCAACCAGCATCTCACAACCAACCCTTTTGAATCATATGGAAACACCCATCCAATCAAATCCAACAACCAGTGTGATCACACTGTCTATAAATGATAATATGAATAAAAATTGTTGGAGAATTTATGAATCTGCATATAATGGACGTTTAATAA